TGAAACTTAATATTATTTATAAATTCTCAGCTGATAGATCAGGCTTATTATTAACTAGCTCTTATATTTAAAATAAGCCATTTTTATTAATCTATATTGTGCTATGTGGCTCACAGCTTTACTTATCCTCTAGCAAGTCTTGTTCCCCTGGTGTCTGTCTGGTTGACTCTACCCCTCTTCATCCCAACATTCTCTGTGTCTAGCTTTCCTTCCTGTACTTTCTGTCTGGCTACTGACCCATCAGCTTTTTATTAATAAATGACAATAATAAATATTGTACAGAAGGTTTATTCCACAGCATTTCCCCTTTTCTCTAATTAAAAATGAAGTTTTTTTAATATAGTAGAACTATATGTTACAGAACAGTTATTACCCAGGAATTACACTTAACAATATCCAGTCAATTTTTATTTGAGAAAATATTTTATGATTTATCTTATCTTTGTGATTCCAAAGTTTTGCTCATAATCTATCTTTTGTCATGACTAAGGAAAGCTACAACTATCTAGTCTTCAGGTCCATCAAAAAAACCAAAAGAATGAAATTTTACCTAATAACAGGGACATCTCACTGTCAGGAAGTCAGCCAAAGATTTTCTATAAGGACATCCATCATGAGCCCATAAGTTTATTATATCTGGCACACTTTTCTCAGGAGCTTGGGATTTTGGAGGACTGTCCTACCTTGTTTTGGAAAAGTTTGATAGGTGCTTTTTGATCATCAGCTTGAAGTTTGAATCCCAATATCTGTCTCTGGGTCTTTTATTTATCATGCTACATGGATACCCACATCTGTATTTCCAATCCCAAAGTAAAGATTGTACTGAGTATGACATCATCAATAATTTCCTACTGGAAAATTATTGACAAATCAATTTAAAGGATGGAATTGGGCTCTGGAAGAAACCCCTGACTGAGTTTTGTGGGATCCTACAACATTCTACATAGAACAAAATACAGCAAGGAATAAAACAGTTGTAATCTTGGGTGGAATCTGCAAAACAATGAGAGGTGATAAAAAGATTTAAATGGAGATAAACTATCTTCAGCCATGCAATTGTAGAGAAAAGTGATTGTGAAATTTATCAGTCATTATAACTGAATTTACATCATATTGCTTTATTATTATGAAATTATGTTTACTATTTTTTTTACTATCTCCAATCCTTGCTTCTTTTTTTTCTTTCCTCCTTTCTTTAAACATATCGTCATGATGAGCATACTAGAGGATTCAAATTTTCTTCTCAATAACTTAGGTAGAAATGTGGAACATTTGCAAACTATATTGTTTTCTGTGTATTAGTGTTTTCTGGCATGTATGTCTGTGTGCCACATGTGTATCTAATGCCATAAGACATTACAAACCATAAGATGGCATCACATTACTTGCAACTATAATTACAGATGGTTATGAACTGCCATGTGGGTGCTAGGAACCTAACCCTGGTTCTCTGCAAGAACAGCAAAAGCTGTTGACCACTAAGCCAACTCACCAGCCTTTCTCTGGTACATTTTTTTCTCAGCAAAACTGACTGCTAATTTTGTCTCTCAACTTTCTGTATGTTTTCAAGGAAGACCTACCACATTCTGTGAGACCATCGGGAAAGCTGAAATTTGGCTAATCAGGACCTATTGGGATTTTGAATACCCTCGTCCACATTTACCAAATTTTGAGTTTGTGGGAGGACTGCACTGTAAACCTTCCAAGCCATTACCTAAGGTAAGTCTTTGAAGAAGATATTAGTTATTTCATGATACAATAGCTAGTTTTCATTAAGGTATATAAATTTAGTAATAGAGATATTATTATTTAGTAGCTTCACTGTACCAGGGAAATTTACTTTCCTCCTTATCATTACTTTTTGATGAAACTTGTTGCATCCTTTAAACTTTGCTAAAGAATTTTGGATTAAGACTAAAGTTGGGGTGAGGAATAGGTGGTGCATGCCTTTAATCCCAGCACTCAGGAGTCAGACAAAGGTGGATCTCTGTGAGTTCAAGGCCAGCCTGATCTACAGAGAGTTTTCCAGGACAGGTCCAAGACAATACAGAGAAACCCTGTCTCAAAAAACCAAAATAAATAAATAAATAAATAAATGAATGAGTAAAGTTGGAAAGATGTATTAAGAGCATCTGTGTGTCTGTACTGTGGATACTGCAGTGAGTTACGAAAAGGAGTCATGAATGTCACCAAGGAGACTTCCTGTAGTCTTCTTCATGTGTCTCACAGACTGCATGATGGAGAGACATGACTTCATGAGAGATCTGGGCAAATGATTTAGGTGTAATTAGTCTAGAAAGCTTGCATTGAAGGCCTCCAGAATCAGGGCATTTCAGACCTGATCAATTAATTAATATTAGGCATTAATTGGTCTGCTGACCTTAAATTGACAGTTATGAGTTTGCTTTTCAAATAAATATGTCTCTCAAGAAGCAAGATTTATTATTTCACTGAAGAAAAGTGAATAATTTTTAAGTAAATAAGTAAATAATTTTTAAGTAAATAAGTAAATAATTTTTAAGACTTTTGAGAAGTCTTAAAAAATTGCCAGTTGATGTAACTTAGAGTCATCAACATCAAGTAGATATAATGAAACTGGTAGACTGAAGTGATATATAGGGGCTCTATGAGTATGAAGTCAGGAGTTTTTGAAGTAAAAGAGATAATTGCATATCATATCTTAGATGTTGTATATTTGGTTGTGAGCCTAGCCTTTAATGACTGAGATATCCCTCCAGCACATCTTAGATCTTCTAAAGAAAAAAAGTGAATATTAGAAATGTTGAAACAAAAATCACCAAGAAATAAAAGATATTAGGTATACAAATTAGAAAAACTGTATCAGTAGAGAGTGATGACACAAATAAAAATTTGTTTGATTTGTAAGCCCTCAAGCAAAGAATTTTCAGAAGATTACTGATTGAATGATGTTTCCTGAGGAGTTCTCTATTCCTGTATAGGCTCTGAAGGGTGTATTTAAATGTAAACTTTCATTTTAGTGTTCTAAATGTGCTTTTCTTATATATGTCACCAAGCTTAACTGAATATCACTGTATAAATTTAATGGATCAAAAAGTGTAATGAATCAATATCCAAATGAAACAGAGATTGTTTGCTAGGTAAACTCCATACCATACTGTTATGTTTAACATCTTAGAGTCCCTACATAACTCTACAAAATGTTTAGACGTATGTCATACTAGTAAGGGGTACCTTCATTCCAAATTCAGGTTGTCTAACAGATTAGACATTGACCAAGTAAATGTCAGTCATGGCTTTCGTCTTCTTGGGAAATGCAGAAAAAGGAAAAGGTGAGGTTCATGCAAGTAAATGTTCAGTGTCATTATAGTGGTGGTGGTCGTGGTGGTGGTAGTGGTGGTGTATGTGTGTCTATCTGTCTGTCTGTCTGTCTGTCTGTCTATGTGTATTTCTATATGTCTGCCTCTGTGTGTTACAATATAAATATAAATTTGAGAAAAATGTGAAACAATAAAATGGTGCACCAGTCAAGTCCAATATTTCTAACCTCATCACTGAAGAGTTGCAGGCAGGGATATTTGAAGTCTGAGATAAGGCTAAGATGCATAACAAGACTGTCCCTAAAACAAAAACTATCTAACAGAAATACAGGAAAGCTCTTAAAAATCTTAATGTGAGCTGAATATATAGGTTTACTTCAATGCATTCATTGTAAGTTTTTGGCCACGAAGAACAGAAGACCCTTGTCTGAATAGTGGGATTCACATGTTATCCAGTGAGGAATTCAGTTCCATCTTTGCAGTACAAATTTTTAAAACTGGGAATGTTCAGGGAGGTTTATATGTAAAGTACATTTTTACATTGACTGTAAGGCACCAATTCATGTATTTTGTCAAAATTTTGTGGGATACAATCCATCAGAAAGACAATAAGCATTGTCCACAAATGTCATTATGACTATAGCAATAAATTAATAACTATGTTTTCTTAAGAGTATAACTATAAAAATCCCAGCACTAATAGATTTAATCTTCATTATAGGAATTAGGGAAGACAATATACAAATAAAAGTAGTCTTTTTTGTTTGTCTAACAGTCAAGAGAAAATGTGGATCAATCTAACAGTACTTTTTATGTAATGGCATAATAACATTAAAATCCCAGCCTTTCTTCCAGGGAATAATTCTCTAATTTTGCAAATACCTCAGTGTTTTGGGGGATGTTAAATTTTGCAAGAAACAATTCCCCTTACCCAGAGATAAGCTTCCAGGAGCTGCTATTCCCTTCTATGTTGATTTAGTGTCATGTTTTTGCTGCAAGTATTTTATGTATGTTTCAGGGAAGTGTTTCCTTTTTAAGCATGGTAGTTCAGCTGGGCTGTGGTGGCGCATGCCTTTAATCCCAGCACTTGGGAGGCACAGGCAGGAGGATTTCTGTGAGTTTTGAGACCAGCCTGGTCTACAAGATCTAGTTCCAGGACAGCCTCCAAAGCCACAGAGAAAACTTGTCTCGAAAAACAAAAAACAAAAAACAAACAAACAAACAAAAAAGACATTGTAGTTCGGCAAGTCATAAGATAGAATTGATCTAAAAATTCTCTGACACACCTTTTCATTTCTACTAATTTCTTTCCTTTTTTTACTTACAATATTCTCTGTTTTTGAGACAGATCTCACTGTGTAGCCCAGGCTGGCCTAGAACTCACTATGTAAAGCAGACTCTCCTTGAAATCACAGAGATCTGTCTTCCTCTGCCTCTAGAGTAGTGGAATTAAAGGTATGCACCCCTTGTGAGGGTGTGGTGAGTGTTTTTAATAAAAAGAATGTTATGTTTTCAGGAAATGGAAGAGTTTGTCGAGAGTTCAGGGGAACACGGTATTGTGGTGTTTTCTCTGGGGTCAATGGTCAAAAACCTGACAGAAGACAAAGCCAACCTCATTGCCTCAGCCCTTGCCCAGATTCCTCAGAAGGTTGGTACATCATCTGGATCCTGGGGAGCAGAGCAGATTAGGAGCAACTGGAGAGCACAGATGACAGAGTTCTTTGAAGATAAAAGCTGAAATTTGTTACTCAGGAGCACAGCTGACACCAACTTTCATTAAATATTGATCAAGCATATAACTGGAGCTTGTAGACACATTTAATCATTTGCTTACTGACTCTTACCACAACTATGGCAATACATGCTTTTGTAGTTTTCCCCCAGATCCATTCCTCCTCCACTTCGCTTCAAAATGAGAGCAGGCCTCCCAGGTACAGAGAAAAAAACATAGCATAATAAGTTAAAATAAGACTAGGCACAAACCTTCAAAAGAGGAAGATTCCAGTCCACTTAAAATTGCATGCCCTGAAGTGAATGTTAGCAAAAATTCCAGTTCATGATTCAGGAAAGTGTTCCACAAGATAAAAAAGATTACACACAGAGCAGAGAGAAGCTTGGCTTCATTTTCAAGTAGATGCCTCAAGGAACCGATTCCTCCTAAATTGAAGCATCTACATTTTGAAGTAAAGATTTGTCATACTCACAGAGTACTGATTTTCCAATTTATATTTAATAAATTTAATAGAATCCTATATTTTTATTCTCAAATTTCCCTACATTTATGTGCTAGACAAAGTACAAAAAGTTGTATGACATATACTGACTATGCTTCTAAAAATATGTGTTTGTGCCTACAATCTCCTACAATTTTCTACCTCTTAGCTATATAAAAATTTCTCATTCTCACTGCAGAAAATATTCTATAACTAAATTTTAACTTTTTAACCAAATATCTAGTCTAGACACACAGACAAATACATGCCCAGAGACAGACAGACAGACAGACAGACAGACACACACACACACACACACACAGAGAGAGAGAGAGAGAGAGAGAGAGAGAGAGAGAGAGAGATCAGAGAGGAATGAAGAGGAAAGGACAGTAGCAGAAACAAAAAGAGAAGGTGAGAGGTAGAGTCAAGTAAGAAAAGAAATCTGAATAGGGAGAAGAAAGTTATGAAATAAATAATATAGAAATTTACAGCAAATACTAAGCCTAGTTATATTTTGGGGGGAAAATCACATTTTAACTGATGATTAGGACCAATAGACCACATGAAATAAATGCATGTGGCATTCACATTCATACTGGTTTTGAACCCAATATTCTGATTTATTAAAGTAGGTCTTCACTTCAACCTTTGTTCCACCAGCTTTTCAGTACTAAGGATTAAGGAGGTAACATTATGCTTATTAGACTATTAGTTGGGGCTGTTATGAACAGGTAAGTATGAACAGGTCTACTATATCTCTTAATTTTTAGAGGCTGCCACAAATAAACTCCCTTCTCAAGCATCACCCAACAAATATAGGCTACTTTTGTTGTAAAAAACACTGCTGCTGTGCTACATCCTCATTGTGTGTTGTTATCCTGCAAATCACAGCATTGTCTTCCCCAGGTTTTGTGGAGATACTCAGGAAAGAAACCAGCTACATTAGGATCCAATACTCGGCTTTTTAACTGGATTCCCCAGAATGATCTACTTGGTAAGACCTTGGGGTGAAAAACTGTACAGTCAAAAAACCAACATCAATTCACTGATAATACTGAACGATTTATATTTTCATATTGCACTTCCACTTTAGAGACAAATATAATTTAAAAATTTAGCCATTAAGTTAGGGATTTTTTGTTTTTCTTTGGCCTTGGTTTACAAAAGAGCATCCCCAGTTAACTCTCATCTGTCTTCAGGATTCCATCAGATTTCATTGCCCCAGTGATGCCTTCTCAGTCACCAAGAAGGGGTTAATCTGAGGGAAGAAATGTCTCATGTGCCCAACATTTGTAGGTTGTTTCCTTCTTCAGTGACTCACACTATGCACTTTTTAAAATTTAAATTAAAAGCAATCTTACTTTGCATACGAATCCCAGTTCCCTCTCCCTCATCTCATTCTGCCCACCATCTCCCCTTCCCATCCTGTCAACTCCTCAGAGAGGGTGAGGTCTCCCATGGGGGATCATCTAAGTATGTCATATCATTTTTAGGCAGGACCGAGGCTCTCCCTTCTGTATCAAGGCTGAACAAGGTATCCCTTATTGACGACTACCTTGAATGACATCATAGAGCCTTCACTCGGTAACAAATAGAAACAGAAGCAGAGATTCACACATAGATAAGCAGTGAGCTAAACTCCTGGAATCCAGTTGTAGAGAGGGAAGAGGGAAGAGCGATTAGCAAAGGGCTCAAGACCATGCTGGGGAAACCCACAGAAACAGCTGGCATGTGAAAGTGGGAGCTCATGGACTCCGGTCTGACAGCTGGGAATCTGTGTAAGACCGAACTAGGCCCCTGGAGCGTGGGTGTCAGTTTGGGAGCTTGGGCAGTCTATGGGGCTGCTGGCAGTGGAACCAGTAATTGTCCCTAGTTCAAGAACCGGCTTTTTGGAGCCCATTCTGGGCTCCAAAATACATAGGGACACTATGTATTTTTATGTTAATGTGATAGCTTGAAACCCTTATCAACTTGTCACTCTAACAGGACATCCTAAAACCAAAGCTTTCATCACACATGGTGGAATGAATGGGATCTATGAAGCCATTTACCACGGGATCCCTATGGTTGGAATCCCCATATTCGCTGATCAGCCTCACAACATTGCTCACTTGAAGGCCAAGGGAGCAGCCCTGAAAGTAAATTTGAACACAATGACAAGTGAAGATTTACTCAGTGCCTTGAAAGCCATCATTAATGAGCCCTAGTAAGTATTTCAGTTTGGAAAGCCATGCCACCCACTTGTTAGTCTTGTCATCATTCTTGAAATTTTCCAGTGTTTCATATTTAATACTTGTCTTATTCCCAATCAAGACAGCATAAATAATTTGAAAAATAAAGTAAAGTAATTTTCTAAATTCCTGTCTTCTGATGATAATTCCTGAAACATGGAAAAAATATTTGCTTTGAAGATTGTACCAATAAATAGATTTGCAAAATGTTTGTTGAATGTATAAATTCACTTGTAGTTTTCACCTAATAAATAAATATATAAGCACTTATATACATTTGTTTAGATACTAGATAGAACTAATATGCTGACTAATTTTCTTTGTTCAAAATTACATTTTATAATGTCACAAAACATTATAATTAAATAATAGTTATATCTGAGTAAGGATGTCATAATAGTTAGGCTATTCAAGAAATATATTTTAGCAAATAACCTTAGGGTTAGGAATGTCAATATTTCTTAGGGACGAATTACTACTTTGACTAAATGTTAACATAGAAGTGTGATATATTTATGATTCTTTTAAACATTAATACATAGAAAAGTCATTACATTTTAATATTAATTTAAAAATTATTGATGCAAAAGGAAACATCAGGATTTTTAGGAAGCCCATATATATGTATCTATTGAGAAAGCTCAAATATATGTGTATATATTTGAGCTTTCTAAAAGTATTTATGACTATTTTAAGTACTATTTAAATATATGTGACATAACATACATATATATACACTAAAATGGTATTTAACTTAAAATAACTCCATATTAATTCGAAGTCAAATGGTATTTCTAAAATTGCCTGGGGGAAAAATATTGCCTGGGAACACAGGGAATGGTGTTTTTATTCCATTATCTATCTGATCCTGTAAAACAACTAAGAATTTCATCAGAGAGTTGGGAAAGAGGCTCAGTATAAGCTCTAGTAATGAAGTGAGAGGACCTGAGTTCAAATCCCCAATGATCTAGCTTTTTCTGTAATCCCTGACTTCTATAGAAAAATGAGACAGAAGAATCCCTAAAAGCAGACCAGGTAGGTTGGTGTGCACAGTGCCCAGTAGTGCACAACAGATCCTGTCTTAGACAAGGTAGAATTTGAGGACCAACACCTATTGATTGTCTTCTGACCACTATATGTGTGTGTGCCACCCAAACACCAGGTTCACTTACATGTGAAAGACTGAAAAAAGAGCAACAGAGTGTACATTCTACTGTACATATACAAGGTCACTATGCTAATTATTCAGGATGTTTTAACAGTTTTATGCCTAAACATCTAGTGACTAAAATGTGAATTAAATTAGCAAGCAAGTCCTGACTTCCTTAAAAATAAGATTTCCTAAAAAAATTTAGTCATACTGTTTTCTAACAAATATATATATTTGAAATTTAATCTCTAAGCAGAAAATTTTGCTGCAAAAACAGATTTGCAAATATTAGTGTGTTTTGACTAATCTCATTTTACTAAAATTCAGCTGCATGATCCTATGAAACTAAAATTTGATTTTGGCTGTGGTTCAAGTAAAAAAAAAAAAAAAAAAAACCACAAGGCTTTTTGTTTGGTTTGTTTTTGTTTTGCACAATGAGCAAAGTAGAATTCATATAAGAAGTTCCCTGCTGTGGCTAGTGCATAGATAGCATAACATGAGCCCGATTATCACATTTCTTCTTTCATAATTCTAATGCAGTCCAGCAGCACTGAAACAACTATCCACAAACCACATACCTTCTCTCATTGCCACCAGTTAAATGAAACTGAATAGAACCAACACTAGACAGAATAATTCTGACCCAGTTTTGGGAAACTGAAAGATAAAATATATTTTACCTTTTAGATATATAGATCCCTCTAACTGGTTTCAAAAATGATTAAAACTTAATTCTTAAATATCTTCATGCCAAATGACTGAGGAATCTGATTTTAGGAAGGGATTTTTATTTCCTACACAACATCCAAGTCCTTGTACTTGTATATATCATTCTTAAATGACAGTAGTGATTTTTGTATTCAGTCACACATTGCTGAGAGATGTTGTCTTTTGGATCACAAACATGTAAATATCCATGAAACAGTGAACAATCTTAGAACTCTAAAATGACTGTGGGTTTGTTCCCTGTATCTATAACATGACCTAACTAGATTCTTTAATCTTGAAATAGTCTTGGACACTATATTTCCTATAACAACACGATTATTTCAAAAGATGAAACTAAAGATTTAATACTGGATCCTACAATTTCTCTGTCTGTATTTGACCACATTGTCTTAAGAACAGATTGCTTACACAATTTCTGACTACCTCTGAAACCAACAAACTTCCAGAAAGAATGAAGCATTCCTCAACTTAAATGACCATTGGCTTGCATAATGCCCAGGATTTTTCAAAAACAATCTACAAAACAGCTTATTATGTTTATCTTCTAGTTATAAAGAAAACGCCATGAGGTTATCAAGAATTCACCATGAACAGCCAGTGAAACCCCTAGACAAAGCTGTCTTCTGGATTGAGTTTGTCATGCGCAACAAAGGGGCCAAGCATCTTCGAGTGGCAGCACATGACCTCACCTGGTTCCAGTACCACTCCGTGGATGTGATTGGGTTCCTCCTGGTCTGTGTTGTAACTCTGGCATTCATCATGACTAAATGTTGTTTGTTTACTTGTCGAAAATTTTGTATGTCAGAGAAGAAGAGAAGGGGGAACAGAAAAAAAAAGAACTAGGTATTTCTAGGTTTGAGAATTTCCTGAGTGACACCAATTCTAGCAACAAGCATCTTCCATTCTTCTGCTTTTATATTATTTTCAGAAACCTTTTCTGAAATGGTTAGTGTTAAATGTTCAGGCTTATTTCATCTGTTCTGGCATTTCTGTTGTTGTCTCATAGGCATTCTCATTATTCTCCACGTACTGTCCTCAAATATGGAATCTGTTAACTCTAAACATGTTCTATAGAAATGGAGTGATGACTAACAGTTTGTAATTGATGTATATAAGGATCAATGTCACCAGCTTGTTGTATTATCTAAGAATAACTACAGCAATTTAGTGTGTTATGAGACGATACTTTTCTAATAAAAATGAAATTTTCTGTTTCTTCAGTGTTGTGGGTATTAGAGCACGAATTCCTTTTATGTTTTTTGGAAATATATTTTTTATTTAAAACAGTTTTCATGCAGCACATTTTGATCACATTTTCCCTTTAGAATTCCTCCTAAATCCTTCCAATCTCACCGCCCAACCAAATTCATTTTCTCTCTAAAATATATAAAATAGGAAAAACAGCAAAACATTAAAATCAAAAGATATAAATGAACTAAAGACAGGACAAAAAAAAGAAAGTAGGAAGGAAGGAAATAAGAAAGGAAGGAGAATTAAGAGGCAAAAATAAAAAAGCACGTGCAAAAAAATCCCAAACGAAATATGGACTCTTCTGTTGGCCGAGAACTCATAGGTATGGGCCTAACTTGGAGTGTAGTTGATATACCCAGTGAAACTGTTGGAAAAACTTATTTTTCCCTCTCCCAGCATGTATCAATCACAAATATCATTTGGGCAGGGGTGGGATTTTGTTCCCATTTCCTCTTGGTGCTGGAATTTTGTTTGGTCTGAACTTGAGCAGGTCTTGAGAATGCTGTCACATTTTCTGAGTTCATATACATATTAGTCCTGTTATATTTGTAAAACACTGTTTTCTTGGAGTCATCCATATCTTTTGCTCTTACACTCTTTCCTCCTTCTCTTCCTTAGGATCTCTGGGCCTTATGGAGAGGGCTTTGTTAAAGATATCCCATTTTGCTCCAAAGTCTCTCACTCTCTGCACAGTGTCCAGTTGTGAGTCTCTGTGTTACTAACTACTGCAAGATTAACTTTTTCTGATACAAGTTGAGTGAGGTATTAGTCTACAGGCATAGCTCTAAGTCATTAGGAGGCATTTTGTTGATAAGTTTATTGAGGAAAACAATAGTAACAAGTTTTCAACTGGTACTATGACCTAACTAGTTTCAGATTCTTGGCCACTTTATCAGTGTCAGCTATTGGATCCATCTCATGGAGTAGATATTATATTCAATTAAAGAGTGGTTATTACTCATATAACATTTGTGCCATTTTTGCACCAGTATATTTTATATGTGCATCTCTGTTATGGATCACAGGGTGTATAACTATTTGAAATGGATGATTACTTTTCTTCTTGAGAGGTAGGCATGGTAGGTTGTTCAGGATAGAGTTCTGGGGCACAATGTGCTTTTCAGCTCCACAGAGACCAAAGCACTGCCTCAGACAGTGAAGTGTTCAGGCTGCTCTGTGTTAATCTGTATGCTCCTTTAGTAGTCAAAGAAGCATGAAGGCTTGATAGGATAATTGGTCTTAGACATTAATCTTGTGTACCCCATATGCCTTAAAATTTTTTCTGTCTCCTGGCGACTACAGCTGTATTGATCCTTCCAATTCCCATTATATTCTCTTTTTGTTAAAAGTATAAAAATTCTGAAAGTTCTCAAAAAAAAAAAAAAATTGCCACAGTCTCAGTTGTGCTATGGCTCTTCCAACCGGCCTCATTTAATTCCTTGAGGCTATACCAGGTGACCTTGGCCCAGTTAAGCATAGATGCTTACAGTCTGCAAAGCAATTGCATTCTGGGCGTCAACTGCATACCTTGCATTCTGTGGGCTTTCTCTGCACTCCTAGTCTTCTTGTGATGCAGAACTTTTTTTTTGGGGGGGGCGGTAAAATTATACATTCTTGCTCTCTCTGCCTATTTTTCTGATTCATACCTGATAGCTTCTACATGTGCTGGCTAATATTATGCAAAACTAATGCAGCCTGGAGGGGACACATCTTGAGAGGTGGGAACCTTAATTAAGAAACCACCTCTACAAAATAGACAGGTGGACCAATGGAATCCAGTTGAAAACCTGATATTAACCCACACACTTATGAACACCTGATTTTTGACAAAGAAGCTAAAGTTATACAATGGAATAAAGAAATTATCTTCAACAAATGGTGCTGGCATAGCTGGATGCTGGCATATAGAAAACTGCAGATAGATCCTTGCCTATCTCCATGCACAAAACTTAGGTCCAAATGGATCAAAGAACTCAACATAAATCCAGCCATACTGAATCTATTAGAAGAGAAAGTGGGAAATACCTTTGAATTGAATTGGTACAGGAGACCTCTTCCTGAATATTACACCAGTAGCACAGACACTGAGATTGACAATTGATAAATGGGACCTCCTGAAACTGAGAAGCTTCTGTAAGGCAAAGGAGACAGTCAGCAAGACAATTGGCAGCCCAGAGACTGGGAAAAGATCTTCACCAACCCCACATCTGACAGGGGACTGCTCTCCAAAATATACAAGGAACTCAAGAAGCTAGTCTCCAAAACACAAAACAATCCAATTAAAAAGTGGGGTACAGAACTAAATAGACAATTCTCAACAGAGGAATCTACTCCCTTTCCCAGAAAAACGGCAGAGGACAGGTCGAGAGCGCTTCGGGTTAAGCTAACAGCCTAGTCGCGACTCTCGTACACAGTCTTATTGGGAAGGTACAACCTCTGCCTCTATCCCTCAACATATGGGTGACCTATTTGCTTGTAAAAATATAAAGCCTTATCATTAATTAATAAAAAAA